CATCCACACCAGTTAACCTCTAGGTTGGTACTATTGTTATGCTTTTGAGAAGTTTTAATCCTAAGCAGGGTCTTTGAAAATGGTACACGTATGGTGATACAGTGCATGTGCTCTCATGTCCTTAAAGTAGTGTAGTTCTGTTGTTTGCAATTTCATTTTCTGATTTGTTAAAATTTTTCTTCTATAGTTTCTCACCTGCGGGTCCTTCGGGTAAACCCGGGGCGTTGCCCGGGTCACTCGGCTAGTATGTATATAAAAAAGCAAAGCCCAATTCTAAACCCAAATATTTTTTTTATGAGAAGAACATCAACATATTGCATGATTAGGGCAGTCCATAGCTTCCCTGACAAAAATTCACCAAGAAAGTAAAATATTCCAAAATTTTTCTGTGTGTAAATTGCTAAATATGTAAAAAACATGTATACAAAAAAGCAAAGCCCAATTCCAAACCCAAATATTTTTTTTATGAGAAGAACATCAACATAATGCATGATTACGGCAGTCCATAGCTTCCCTGACAAAAATTCACCAAAAAAGTTAAATATTCCAAAAATATTTCTGTGTATATATTGCTAAATGTGTAAATAACATGTATATAAAAAAGCAAAGCTTAATTTTAAATTTCATTATCCTTTTTACAGGAAAAGCATCAAAATACTGCATAAGTACGGCACTTTTGCAGCCGCATGATTACGGCAGTCCATAGCTTCCCTGACAAAAATTCATCAAGAAAGTTAAATATTCCAAAATTTTTCTGTGTGTAAATTGCTAAATATGTAAAAAACATGTATACAAAAAAGCAAAGCCCAATTCCAAACCCAAATATTTTTTTTATGAGAAGAACATCAACATAATGCATGATTACGGCAGTCCATAGCTTCCCTGACAAAAATTCACCAAAAAAGTTAAATATTCCAAAAATATTTCTGTGTATATATTGCTAAATGTGTAAATAACATGTATATAAAAAAGCAAAGCTTAATTTTAAATTTCATTATCCTTTTCACAGGAAAAGCATCAAAATACTGCATAAGTACGGCACTTTTGCAGCCGCATGATTACGGCAGTCCATAGCTTCCCTGACAAAAATTCACCAAGAAAGTTAAATATTCCAAAATTTTTCTGTGTGTAAATTGCTAAATATGTAAAAAACATGTATACAAAAAGCAAAGCCCAATTCCAAACCCAAATATTTTTTTTATGAGAAGAACATCAACATAATGCATGATTACGGCAGTCCATAGCTTCCCTGACAAAAATTCACCAAAAAAGTTAAATATTCCAAAAATATTTCTGTGTATATATTGCTAAATGTGTAAATAACATGTATATAAAAAAGCAAAGCTTAATTTTAAATTTCATTATCCTTTTCACAGGAAAAGCATCAAAATACTGCATAAGTACGGCACTTTTGCAGCCCCCCTGACAAAAATTCACTAAAAGAGGTAAGTATTCAAAAAAATATTTTGGTATATATATTGCTAAATGTGTAACAAACATGTATATAAAAAAGCAAAGCTTAATTCTAAGTTCTAATATTTTTTTTATAAGAAAAGCTACAAAAGCAAATAGGGAGAAGTGAAGCCATTTAGCCATTTTCAAAATCTGATTGTGAAAGAGTAAAAAAATGAGTAAATAAGAGCAAATATAAAGAAAAAGTATTGCTAAATGTGTAATAAACATGTATATAAAAAAGCAAAGCTTAATTCTAAGTTTTAATATAAAGAAGAAATAAGACACAAAAATGGAGCTAAATTCAAATGAAAAACTATAACAAATTAATAAAAAAAAATAAGACCTAATCCAAATGCCACCATCATCAGACAAAAGAAAAAATGAGATTTTATTCTTTAGTTCATTTATTCTTCTGTCTGATGCTGTTGCTGAAACGTCACACACTATTAAATTATTTGGATTAGGTCTTATTAATGAGAAAAAAAAAGATGCCAAAGAGAGATGAAAAGATGCCAAAAAAGATAACCAGATACAAAAATTGTGCTAAATTCAAATGAAAAACTATAACAAACACTTATAAAAGATAATTATTATAGAATAAAAGTAATAATTCAATCTACAATTCGAAAAATTTATATATTTAAATGAAAAACTATAACAAAGTACTTACATAATCAAATGAATCAGAAATATATATTATTTCAAAACACATTTTTACGCATTTCAAAACAAATGAATTGATGATGATAAATGCAAAAAAATCTACGATTGTAAAATAGATTAAATTAAAAAATAAAAATAACTGTTAACATTAGGAAAATAAAAACAGGCCTATCATACGAAGAAAAAAATAACGAAAATTTTGGTATATAGATTGTTATGTGTAGTTCAGAATCTTCGGAGGAGATAGCTCAGGACTTTACAATGGAAAACTCTGTTACGGTATTATCTATATAGATATCATCATCAAAACAGTGCCCTCTATCGTTGAAAATTAGAAATATATTTTTAGCGCTTATTTTATTTTAAACACATATATTTAAAACCTATTTCTAAAGCTTTCTCTTATACTGCAATGATCAAATAATATCAAATATATATTTCTAAATTTCAAGCATTATGTTTTAGTTTTTGGTTTATTAGTGAAACTCATTTTTGACTTTTTTGGGCGATTGGTCATCTCAAGGTCATTTAATATGTTTATAGTGTAAAATTGAAGAATTTTAAATATTATATATAACATATTTACCCTCATGGAAAAAAATTAAGGAACTTGTACCTTTTAGCATATATATCGGGATTCCGACAATAACTCTGAAAGATATTTGATACACACTGATCTTTATTGACTACACACGAGATAACCAAGTGTGAACAAAATTGCCTCTGTCTCCTTCAAAAAAATAAAAATAAAAAAGACGACAGCGATATTAAAGACAATCCATTTCCCTAAGTTGTGCTCATGAGTGTAGAATGCGCCATATGTATATATTTAATTGTTGATATTTGATCATAATTATCTCGCTGAAGTCCCTCTATAAGCATGTGGTTATGACACAAAACCATTCTTTCAATTGGAACATCTTTTCTAAAAATTATCTGGTCAGCTGGTTATGTGTTTAGCAACCCACTCAAGCTGAGGTTAGAACGTCTAAGACTGCACTAGTCAGCTGGACAACGCGGGTATAGTCCAGGAATCCAGGTTATCTTCAAATATCTTCGGACATGGCCTGGATGATGACGCCATCTCTGCCAAGACGCACATCTATAAGTACTTCCTCGGCGTGGAACTGAGGAGTGTTCAAGAAGACCCTTGTCTGGAGGAGGACTCTCTGAAGGTGGGGAAACCTCCCTTGCTGAAGAGATTTCTATAAATATCACTGTATATATTTCTCTAATTTTGTTTATCCCTTTATTATATTGTGGCGAAGAAATAATTTATTATTTATTTTTATTTAATATTATTCAATGAAAATATTTAACAGATTATAAAAATATATATTACTCTGTATTTGTAAAATCATATTAAAAATATTTCAGTTTGTCTTCAGCGGTCTTCAGTTTGTCTTCCCTAATTTACCCAGCATCTCCACCAAAATGCCACGTGGAAAATTAGGAAAGACAAAAACTTCAGGAGGGAACAAAATTTATTTCAGGCAAGGACAAACTATGAATGGTAAACAAAAGATAAGCCACGAGGGAAATTTACAGAGTAGCAAAATATAAACATAAAAATGACCACTCTGTTAATAAAAAATAATAAAATTAATAAATACTTTGTTACAATATATGTTTTTTTTTTTTTTTGAAGGAGACAGAGACATTTTGTTTACATTTGGTTATCTCGTGTATCTTCAATAAAGGTCACTGAGTATCAAATAACTTTCAGAGTTATTGTCTGAATCCCGATATACATGGTAAAAGGTACAACTTGGTTGTACTAAAAGGTACAAGTTTTCTCCATTGTATGGAGTTATATAAAAAATTAAGCATCTTTCCGCGTTAATATATATATATATTTACAATTTTATTTTGTATATTCAATCAAAAATCTTTAAGAAAGCATAGAATTTTCCTTTCCGCATACAAATTCCATATTTTCTATCCTTAAAATACTTTCTTCTCATATTCTTTTGGAAAAAAGGAAAGCTGTTAAGCGAAAGAACTGTACTTAAAATGTCTAAGATTTCTACAGCCACAAAACCAATCATTATAGTTAAGCAAAACACATTCAACAACTCAGTAGAATGTATAAAATATATAAATAAAAGCGACGATATAGCGACCATTTGGCAGAATGAACCTCTGGAAGAATTCGCTACTGATGAACATACCTCTCCCAATATTTTCAGCTTCCATGTTTGTAGAAATTTGTCTTCAAAAAATGAAATAATAATGATTATTGTTTTACATTTACTTAACATTTGTATTATTTTTGCACATTGTGTCGCGGTCTCACGCAATTCTGGCCTTAACTATCCGTTTCATGATTTTTCAAGATGCCTGAAGGACTTTTTTTTTTTTTTGGTCGTTGAGGTACAGCTTGCACCACGCTGATGAGGGCCAACAGCCCAAAACGCGTACGTGGTTAGCTTTTTTGATTAATCAAGAATGGGTAATTGGCCAATTCTGGAATAATTAAAAATCAACGAGAATAGTTGATATTTATTCCGATAGATGGCGCAAGCCATCAGCAACTTTCAGTTGCACGATAAGGAAATGCCTTTTTCATAAAGATGTTTGTTAAAAAAAATCACACTTCTCATAATCAATGAAAGAACATCAACATCTTCTTTTGTACCTAATTATGAAAATTTTCTTTTGTATCCGCTATCATCTCTAAACACCGTCCATACATTGAACCGGAGCTTTAAAAACAAATAAAATAATATTTTACTTCTGAATTCATGGCTTGATTTTATTCCATAAACATCGTATCGAGCTTTTAATGTGATTTCAATATTTTATATATCCTCTCTTTCCAATTAAATGTAAAATTAAAGCTGGAAAAAAATGGTTTCCTGGGTCACGTAGCTCCAACAAACGCTAGGGTAGCCTAGTGGACATGGCATCTGCCCGGTAAGCGGAACAATGTGGGTATGATTCCCATCCCTGGAAACTTTTATTTTTCCATTTTCATTACTCTTCACAATTCATCCTTTCATATCTCATTCCTAAGGTTATAAATAATCACACAATATACACACAAAAACCTTTATTAAGACACACAGGCCTTACAGAGGATTCACTTTGGGGTTACAAGACGGAGAAACCTATGAAAGTGGGAAATATACAAAGGGGTAAAAATGGAGAAAGATTATATGCACATGGTAAATATATACAGATTATTATTCGAATAATCCTATGGAAAATAAGAATATGGGTTTGGAATTTTTTTTTTTTTAATATGGATGGGAGAAGTGGAGAGCGAAAAGAGAAAAGAAAACAGGTATTTACATATAAACATACATATAATGGAACAAGTCAATTCAAGCTCTTCTGCTCACACAGCACAGGTGGACCATGGCTTTTTTCAAGAAATCTTTAAGAGATTTTCCAGGAAAATCCGTGTGTTCAGGTTATAAATAATCATTATTTCTCCTTGGGATAAATTTTAATTTTTCGTTGAAAAGAAACACATGCGGGATGGTTTTTCAAATGTCGTTTTACAATCACAAACGCATTATATTGTAATCGGTCAATTGGTCTAGGGCAAGAGTCGGCAACCTTTTGAATAGGAGGAGCCAAAAATTACAATTTACAAAATTTCAAAATTTATAAAGAGTCACACATTTATATAGTACTCGCATAAATAATATTTACGTATGGAACTATATAAACAGTTTCACATCCAAAGAGCCATAAGGTTGCTGATCCCTGGTCTAGGGCCCTCGCTGAGCGAAAACTATCGTACACGGTGTCCATCAATCCGCTGAATCCCGGCGATGGTTTGGATGGAGCTGAGAGAGTCCGATGGATTTAGTTCTGGTAGGAGAGAAGAGTGGAATAGTGATTCCTGGAAGTCCTAAGGGAGCAACCCCCCCCCCCCCCCCTAGAGATCCCAGGGGTCGAGCCGCTTCTATAAACAAACAAAGCCTAGCCGAGCTAGATACCTCAGGGGAGGTGTGGAAACGCTTCTATAAAGAGCCGCAGCTTCACATCCCACGAGCCGCAGTTTGCTGACCGCTGGTCTAGGGCCCTCGCTGAGCTAAGACCATCGTACTCGGTGTTTATCAAACTGCTGAATCCCGGCGATGGTTTGGATGGACCTGAGAGAGTCCGATGGATTTAGTTCTGCTAGGAGAGAAGAGTGGAATTCCTGGGAGTCCTAAGGGAGCAAACCCCCCTAGTAATCCCAGGGGTCGAGCCGCTTCTATAAACAAACAAAACCTGGCCGAGCTAGATACCTCAGGGGAGGTGTGGAAACGCTACCAAATAAAAAGCTTTAAAAAAAAAGTAAAAATATAAACAAACTTAAACATCATGCAAACTTGATTAATTCAATAAAGAGTGTTTTTAAAACTTATTTCTTCCATATACACATAGTAAAGACCATAATGATCATGGTGGGTTATTGGAAAATGTATATATATCTATATGCTCCAAGTTCTCTCCACATGTCAACAGATGTAGAAAACAGTTCAACTCTTGCACATCGTAATGTGTCAGACCCTGTGTGGGTACTTGCACTCACTGGTAGGTTGGACTTATGCAGGACTAGGAGGCCATTGAAGCATTAAAAAAAAAAAAGCTCAAAGCGGGATTCGATCCCACGTCATGGTTATTGACGGTGTGTACCATACCTTCACCAGAAAAACCAGCAATTTTTTCAATCTATGAACCATCGGAAGTCATGTATCAAGATATTTGTACTATTGAGTCTTTTAATACATGGAAAAGAGTATACTATTCAGTTTCAAAAATATGGTATTATTGTGGAATTACGTTAATGATATTTCTACAGAAAAATTTAGTTTTAAAATCTCTTTCTATTGATATCCTTAGATAAAATGGAATTGAGAATGTTAATTTTGGAATTTATTTTTGTAAAAATCAATCTGATTATCAAAACATTTTCGAAAAGAATATGAAAACGTAATTTGCTTGCATAGGAATTACATTGCGGGATTTCTGGAATGCATCGAGGGCGTTTATCCCCCCCTCCCCGGAGGGAGTGAGTACACCACCCCGGGGATCCTCCCTACTGAAGCCACACCCCGACAACCGCCTGAGTTCAAAAAGCAACATTCCAAGAACCACCAGAGCATGCTGAAGTAACCCGCCCCACACAGCGCGTAGATTCCCGGGGGACCATAGTCTCAAGGGCCAGGCTACCAAGAAATGACCGAGTTTCCGCTGAGATCATTAGCTCTCGCGGAAGACAACCTTCGAATCCCAAGGGTCTTCATCCTTCGGCTGAAGATATCGCCTGCCACATTGAGGACCGTTAGCTCAACAGAAAAACACCCTATCTCGTAGGATTGATTGAAGCTTAGGCCATCTCAAGACTTTCCGGAAAACTTCGAGTTATATGACAAACATTTACTTTTCTGTGAAAAAATAGCACAAATGTGATATTGTACTGGGATAAGGTGCATAAATTATAAAAAGGCTTCTCCTTATCGTGCAACTGAAAGTTGCTGATGGCTTGCGCCATCTATCGGAATAAATATCAACTATTCTCGTTCTCTGTTACCATTTCCAGAATCCTTCGCCCATATGGTATCCAAGTTTATTTTAACAGCCCCCCCAATCTTGCTGCCCTCCTCAGGAATCCTATCACCAAAGCAGACACACCCAGCAATCCCATCCACTCCACCGGAGCAGTATACGCGGTTTCTTGCCAGGATTGCCCAGCCTCCTATGTGGGGGAGACTGGCAGAACCGCGTATATCAGAATCACCGAACACAAACGAAACATAATCAATAGGAGGGATAAAAAAATGGGGCTTTGGTCCGGATGTTGACAGTTAGTTAGGTTACAGTGGATATTTTCGGACAGGCCCGCTGAGACTAGGTCCGTTTTCATCTCACGGCGGCCCTCGTGGCCGTCGTTTTGGATCCTCTCTGCCCCCGCGGCTTCATGCAGGACGCCGAGTTTTCCTCTGTTAATCCTCAACTTTCCCCTGGTCCTGGTGCCACGTGAGACGTACTAGGAGAGCGTCTTTTGATCCCAAACTTTGTCCTTACTGTCCCGTGCGGACTTTCAGCATAACTTTCAGTTACACGATAAGGAGATGCCTTTTTCATAATTTACTTTTCTATTATATAGAATTTTCCCTATTTTTTCTCGTTTTTTTTTCCCACATGAAAAGCGTTTTTTACGCAAACTTGGCCTTAAATACCCATTTCTTGTTATCTCAGAAAGCTTGTGGGACCAAACTTTTGATCGTAGAGGTAGAGTCTGCATCACTCTGACGAAGGTCAACATCCAGAAACGCGTATGTGGTTAACTTTTCTTGATTTATCAATAAATTGGGTCGGCCAAATATTTTTGGAACAAGCTAAATCAACGTATGTTTGATTTTTGTTCCACTAGATGGCACTCTGTCATCTAAAAATGTTCATGTGAGTGGTCAGGAAATGCCAATTTTGTTTTTAGTATCAACACCTGATCATTTACCTATTTTTGTATTGTTTTTTTTTTTTTTTACATAGAAATGGAATATATATGTCGTAAACCCGGGTAAGACAACAAGTGAGTTGGAAGCAGTCGGGGTTGAGTGGCAAGGCGTGCAGAGTGGGAAGTCCGCACGGGACAGTAAGGACAAAGTTTGGGATCAAAAGACGCTCTCCTAGTACATCTCACGTGGCACCAGGACCAGGGGAAAGTTGAGGATTAACATGTCCTGCATGAAGCCGCGGGGAGCCAAAACGACGGCCACGAGGGCCGCCGTGAGATGAAAACGGACCTAGTCTCAGCGGGCCTGTCCGAAAATATCCACTGTAACCTAACTAACTGTCAACATCCGGACCAACGCCCCCTTTTTTTTTATCCCTCCCTGGATCCCCCGGGTGTCCGGTGGCAAGCTGGTGTCACTTTGAGACGACTAGAAAAGACGTCATACTGTATTACTTACATATCACATGGTTTAAATTACGATATATATATAAGAGATGGCGCTTAGTTTTAGAGTCTAGTTGTTAACGGAAGAGGTACACTTTCTTTTTATAAATTAACTAGACGGGTGACCCGGGCTTCGCCCCGGGATTGACCCGTGTGCATATCTACCCGAGTGATATATATTTAGATAAGATTTTTTTATAATTGTTTGTTATTAGCATTATATATTTGTTTGCATCAGCATAATTTAATCTAATCTTTGATAGAGGGCGCTGTTCGTGAGCTAAGTAGAATAATTTAAATATATAGTTTTAATAATTGATTTATATATTTTTAAAATAGCCTATCGTCTTCCCCGTATTTTTAAACCTATGTATGGAAATTTTGGTTTGAATTAGTGCACTACTGCGAATTTGTATACCGGACATACAAACAAACAAACATACAAACATTGATTTTTATATAAATAGATATCCTTCTGGCAAAAATTCCATCTACATTTTGATTATAGAATTGACCTTGTCGATTACCCATTACCTGTACATGTGCGTACGTGCATAATGAAATCCAAACATTGAAAAGCTTTTAAAACGTTCGTTATACATGTTGTTTGTCCAATGTGTGTATAAAAAGCACGGTTAGCATAAATTCACCCAGAAAGGGTTGGATTTTAAAATTTTTATGTTTTGACGAAAATGGATTTTCTCACTGCAAATACTATCTGGTTTGCAATACGTTTAAAAATGATGGCGCCATGTTTCATTTTTTTTAAATTTTATTTCAATTTAAAGCGCTATGTCTCCCTAGGGACACTTGCGCTGTCATAAATGTATGCCTTTACATTTGTCGATACATATATATATAATACCTCTAGGCCGTGAATAGAATAATCATATGATGTTAACAAAGAGAAAGAGAGAAAAAATAACTGTGTACAAAAGAAAGAAGTGTCTGGCAATATGTACAATAAGCATAATATAAATTCATGGTCGGTCATAATTCGATAGAGGAAGGCCTCTTTGTAACGCATCAAGTGGTTCAAAAATTCTTACCT